AGCCCTGTTGGCCAGATCGACAGTGACATGCGAATGAATCACTGGAATAAAAGAGTTGCATTAAGACAATGTCCTTTGACCCTATGTTGCCTAACTGGTGGTTTACCATGGAAAGCTGCCATGAGCACCAGTCTGTCCAAAGCTCAAACTTCAGCACGGACGTTCTGACAAAACAGCTTTTTACATAGTGGATGGGTAAAAGCCTAACTATTGAGCCACACTGCCTGAAGAAGTAAGTGAGTCATTTAACCTTTTTTATGTCTTTAGCAACATATTAATCACAGACTGTGATGAATTAAGTAAGTCTGTGAGTGTTTAATTCTGGCAAGTCTGCGAGAAGATCCTCAGGTGTCAAATGTCAGCCAGAATGTAGGCGATTAGTTTGAATATAATTATTTCTATAATTGTGCATCTTTACTCCCTATAACAGCTTCATTTCCAGTCTGCCAGTCTGTATAAAGCCCCTCCTGCTGGGCAGTTGCTTGTTTTGTAAACCTTGATCTGGTTATGTTTAGCTCTTACAGTTCAGTTTTCATGGACACAATAACATTTTCATTGAGCGTATCAGTGGATCTAGCTGACGGCATTCATCCACAGTCGCTCACAACAAATGTAACCGCAGAGTGATCGAAACAGAACAAGATATTCCTGCAGGATTGTGGCATGAAGGGTTTTATTGTGTCGATAATGTGTGAGTGTTTTTGAATGCTGGCTAACTGAACAATCTTCCAAGCCAGACTGAGGTCCGTTAAGGTTAAATGCCTTTGCAGCAACAAATATAAACAATGTAATTAAGTTAAATTAAACTTTATACAACCAAATGTTAATTGACCCCGGCCTCTCGCAGCCTGCAGTTCTGCCTCTTTCATGGTGGTTTGACAAATGTGGACCCACATTACACTTATTGGAGGACTGGAGGATTATTGAATTGGAAGTTGTATGAAAAAATCAAATGGCAACGGCCATAACGCCTTACTCGAGACTTCACAGTAGTACTCCACAAACCAATGAGTGACGTCAAAAAAAGGTTCACACTCACACACAGCCCTGACATATTATCACTTTATAAAGTTATATAGATAAGATGTAAGCAAAGATTTGCGTATTTACTCATTTAGCAGGTACAGAGCAGTTGCTCTGTTTCTTCTGCATGTGAGTACTCCACTGATTTAGCATTACACTCGCAATGAACAGAAACAATATATATATCAATGCAGCAGAACCAGAGATACTGATTACTTCAAACCTGGCACACACATTACCAACTTCAGCACTGACAGATATTTGGGTGTATGTCCTCCAGATTTCTATGTGGTTGTGAAAACTGGGCAAAACGGAAACTAGGACCAGTTCCATGATACCTAAGTTTACAGTACAAGCTGTGATGTTTAACATCAACACATGATGGAACTCACAAATTGTGTACAAAGTTAATAACCAATATACCGTAACTATGTAAAATTATCTATAATTCCATGTGATTATCAACATCTTCAGGTTGGACGTGCACAAAGCTGCCATGTGACTGGAGCACAAGAACTTGTGGGACACTGCAAAGAACACAGGGCTTGTGTTCTTCAAAATAAATTAAAAGAATGCGGTAAGACTGCTTGTTGGAGGAGTGTGTCAAAATGGGACAGACAGCTGGCCTGTTGTGACGTTTTCAGGGTATAAATGACACGTACCCCATGTTCACAGTGAACAGGTAAGGGTGCATTGTTTTGCTGAAGGCCGCTTTGACCTGACATGTGAGAGACACATGTTTACTGTTGATGCGATTGACCTTGCAACTGTTTGGCATGATGTCTCCTGTCCACTCTGCAGTTACTTCACAGCTGTCCAAAAGCTTAACAATAACAATATATACCCCCCTTTTTTTTAAGTTGGAGCAACTCCTTATCTCCATCCTGCTCCATTTTCGCTCCAGTATATCAGAAGCGCACCGGTTAACAAGCGAATTCTGCTCCTCTTCTCATTTCTAATCACACAGACAGCTGATCTTTCTAATAACTTCATGAATTGTGTGTTCATGGATAAGCGGGGTGTCGCTTCATCTGCAACAATGAAGTTAAAAGGATCGGCAGGGAGGGGCTTTTCCCTTGCTGCCTGTGTGTGTCTCATCCGTGATTCCCCAGTGTGAGCTTTATCTCACATCCTAAACAGCGAAAATTAAAAAAACAACGCAGCTATTTAAAATCTTTTGGAGCAGTTTTAGTGGAGATTGGTCAAATCTGAGGTGAGCAAGGGGCAAAATATTAAATGGAAACAACAAAATTCAATTTCTTTTTTACGCTTGCTTGAGGTGGTTTATGCCCTTTTTAAAAAGAGTAAATGCACTACACTGTTCCCGAGTAAGTTCTAACATAGTGAACATTTAACTCATATGGCCGATGAGCTGTTTCTGCTCAGTGAAATATGTTTGTGAAATGATTTTAAATGACAAATAGTAAACACAGTAACAGAATCTGGATCCATATCTGATCAGCACTGCCTAGTTTGACAGTTTGATCTGAGTTTGGTGCGTTGAGCTGGACAGACTCACTGAGAATGAGCTGTCAATCACAAGGTAGCCCCGCCCTAAAGCATACCCTGCTTTATGGTCTATTTTACTTTAAATGGGACCATTGTTTACTAAATGAACATCATGCTGTATGGAAGACTGAAACTAGAGACTGAGACCATATACCCATTATCAAACTGTTTACTGAGCTCATAAATCAAGTGAGAAGTTGGCTCATTCTCCATAAGACTGCATGGTATCAGTGTGTTATTGCAGCCAATGGACCTCCCCCTGCTGGCCATTACACAGAATGCAGGTTTAAGACACTTTCCGAGATGGCTTCACTTTTCAGACCTGGAAACTCTGTCCATTATATATACTGTTAATGAGTTTGACTTGTTTTCATTACATCATCTTGTTGTGCCCTCTTCTTCTGGTTTTCTGACTGGAGAATTGGCTTATCTTGACAACCCACTCTTAAAAACACTATAACGATAGTGGATAAAACCAAGCATTCATTCGCATTTTCTTTTGCCGATTTTAATTGAAATTTGGTTAAAATTTGTGATACATTTGGATGGAAACAAAGCTTACACATATTGTCTCTTACAAAAGAGAAGTTAAAGTAATATCCAATCCAATTCACCCACTGTATTACTCCTTACTACTTGTGTTACTACTAGGCTACGTTTTAGGACTCTGTAATTGTGACTTGTGGCCACAGTGGTTGCTTTTCAGCTAAAGTGGGGGCTCACTTTAATGTGACATACTGTCATGGTAAAACCAAGTGTATCTTAATGTGTGCACTTCAGGGCTATAGATGAAAGTTGACCCACAGTTCTAGCTCACTCTGTATATCCTAGAGTATCTTAGACACTTAAAAACCTCCCAGACCTCCCAGCTGTGTGTTTCTACCTGGTGTTCGCTGTGCAGAGCTACCAGCTGCAGGCTGTGATGTTGATTCTCGCACTGATTAACCAGCTGATGGCCTCTTTGGCACAGTTTGGTTACAGTACTCTGTGAGCTGCACAAGGTCACACAGGCTGATCACTTTTTGCTTTTATATTCAGTCACTTGGACAAACATTCATAGTTTATATCACTGTTAATAAACGCAGAGTCATACAGTTGTTCTCCTTACCTTTTACACAATCCTTAACCTCTCTGATAGAGAGAAGGTGCATGTGCTCAATAAAATAGCATTTTAGGTTAATGATTTGGTATCTATCTATCTATCTATCTATCTATCTATCTATCTATCTATCTATCTATCTATCTATCTATCTATCTATCTATCTATCTATCTATCTATCTATCTATCTATCTACAAGCAATGAAAACTCAGTTATTTAAGACAGACTTAAATCTTACAATAAGACAGAATTTCTTTAAACAGCATAATAAAAAATAAGTTCCTTATTGTTCCTCTGCGGGGATATTATGCAAATCATTATTGTTACTGGTTGAATTCAGCTCAATATAAAATAAGACTGATTTCCCAGAAACGAGGCTCTTTTATTTTCTGTTGCAGTGTGAGGATAATGGATATTGGAAATGAGACTTGCACAGGTAGAACAGAGGAATGAAAATGACAGAAAGGTGAGCAAAGTAGTGACTGCTGAGCGTTTTTCTGGGTCCTTTCCTCTTTAGTGTTACACTGAAACAATTACCAGATGAAGTAGGGTTCAGTCTGACTACCTCACAGTTGTCTGTGACACAAGACCTCCCAAATCCTTGTCCTATTATTGATATTACAAACAATCAGCGTACAGTGTGAATGAACATTGTACATGAGGTCTTGCAGTCTTGTGTTGATCAATCTGCGTCGGGCAGTGCTTCAAACACCCAAACTACTATCCCCAGCTTTATGGGGGGCAGGAGCTTCAAACCTAGAATTAACTAGGTAAAAGAAATGTGTGTATAAATGTAAAGCTCTCTTTTGTCAGATCTCGTCCACACAGCAGCCCTCTGTGAGTCACTCAGGAAAGAAAAGATCCCATTATCGTGTGTTTTCATGTGAATTCTTCAGTGTCCTTGAACAATAGCAACATCACTGGCAGTGTGACGATCCCAGTGAACTGAACTGAGTCACAACAGCTTAATATTGCTAGAGGGCCTGATGCAGACCAAATTAAGGCAAAACAATAAAAAAGGGACTTATTTTGTTACGTCTGGTCTTTTTTAAAAACACAAAATGAATTAATTTCCAAGAAAGGACGCAATCATTACCTCATTGTCTACATAAAGTATCTTAACTGTTTTCTCATATGCACTTCTGACAGATAATATGCTAATGCCAGCAGGCCAACATGTTTACAATGACAATGCTAACATGCTGATTTTACCAGGTATGTTTACCATCTCAGTTTAGTGTGTTGGAATGCTAACATTTTCAAGTAAGTATAAAACCAAACGTACAGCTGAGATTAAGGGGAATGTCATCAGTTTTGCAGGTATTTGTTGATAAATCCAAGTATTTGACTCATTTTTACTTGCCACAGGATTTGTCTACACTAGAATATGCAGTAGAGGAACCAGCGGCATCAACACAGTCATCTTCACATATACAGTAGATTCTCCCTGACATGGCCTCCTCTCCCGGGCTGGATGCTCACCCGCTGCTTCAGCTCCAGGAGGTGGACTCCAGCAAAGCCTCAGAGAGGCCGAACTCACCGGGACCCCTGCCCGCAGTGTACAGCCCTCCTCTGGGCATGGACGGCCACACTGTCTGTATCCCCTCTCCGTACACGGACAGTAGCCACGAGTACAACCACGGCCATGGACCTCTGACCTTTTACAGCCCGTCTGTGCTGAGCTATGCCAGGCCCCCCATAAATGACAGCCCATCAGCCTTCTGGCCCTCCCACAGCCACCCCAACATGCCCTCACTGACTCTGCACTGCCCTCAGCCTCTCGTCTACCATGAACCCAGCCCACATGCGCCCTGGCTGGAGCCCAAAGCCCACAGCATCAACTCCAGCAGGTAGGTTCGCTGACACTGACCCATGGATGGGAAAAGTATATGGCTTCTACCCTAATGTTCGGTCTTTAAACTGATCTCTAGGCTTTGACACCTCTGTTTACCCTTATATTTAATGTCATAATGGCTGCTGTGAAAAAGGTGTATTCTCAAGTATTCTCGAGCTGTGGTGCCAATGCTTCTTTAGTATCTCAAGAAATAAAGGAATGAGTGACGTTATATTTAAAGCCTTTGCAAGGAACTTTCATTTTGTCTGGCAGTCCCTGTGGACAAAAGCGGCAGTGATTCTGGGGAATCCGACCCGGTGGCAGACATTAAGATTAACTTAATAGAAATAGCCAATCTTCTCGCTGATGGTCTTGGTTGTTCAGTAAGTCATATAGAGGCACCAGAGTTAAATTGAGACTGTTTCATTAAAAAAATATATTTTTCTCAACTCAAAAAGATTAATCGATTATCAAAATAGTTGGCAATTATTTTTAATAGTCGACCCCGTGTGAAACTGTGGTGACCCCTATTGGGGGTCGGAATTGAGCGGTGGAACCCAATGTGAAGACAAATAGGTCTATAGTTGTGTTCCTGCTTGAAGTTGTGCTCAAAGCTTCATTAAACAGTTCACTTTTACTTTCACCACATCAGTTGGTTTAGGATTTAGGAGGCATTATCTGCACTAACATAAGTTATGACAACACTGGTCAAGGATGCTGCACGTTTATACACCCATTATGTTTCGATGATGAACGCTGTGAAGTTTCCTGATGCAGTTTTCCAGTTGATTGACATGTGATTTTGGAAAGATTTTCTGCACCTGTTGGAAGACTAATGACAGGTGAATGACGGGCTAAAACTCCAAATGTCAAGTTGTCCCTTTTTCACAGTGTTTCTTCCTGCAGCTCCATCATCAGCTGTAACAAGCCTCTGGTGAAGAGAGCAGAGGAAGGAGTGGAAGGCATGAACTCCTCCTGTTCCTCTGCAGCAGGGAAAGCCGACATGCACTTCTGCGCCGTGTGCCACGACTACGCCTCTGGGTACCACTACGGTGTGTGGTCCTGCGAGGGTTGCAAGGCTTTTTTCAAGAGGAGCATCCAAGGTATCAGCTCGGTCTTTCTGTCCATGTTTACTCACCATTTATTCCTTCTGCTCCTCAATTTAAATACATCTTTACAAAATGTCTTTCATTTCCTTTTCCTTAGGGCACAACGACTACATCTGCCCCGCCACAAATCAATGCACTATTGACAAGAACAGACGTAAAAGCTGCCAGGCCTGCCGCCTTCGTAAATGCTACGAAGTGGGCATGATGAAGTGCGGTAGGTGCTCACCTTTTATAATAATTGGGGTCCTTGACGTTTTGTCATCTTACAGCATCACTAAAGTTCAAGTGTTACCGGTGAGCTCATTACGGCGTATGAACTTTGAGACTTCTGAAAACACACAGGATCTAATGTATGATAATTTAGCCGGACGTTTTGCTGCTGCCTGGTAAGATGGATTCTCATTGGATATCAGGATTTTGTGATCTTGTGAGTCTAACGAACTGCACACTGTTACTTTTCCAGCATTGTTAAATGAATAGTTGCAGATTTGGAGAAATATACTTGTTCCCTTTCTTGAATTAGTAGAGAGGATCAATACCACTCTCATGTCTGTTAAATATCAGGCTACAGCCGACTAGCTTTACTTTGCATTGCTTTGTCCAAAGGTAACAAAATCCACTTGCTTGCTATGTTGTTTTTTGTTTGTTGTACAAAAAGTCAAAATCCTCATGCGTTTACTTGCTTCAGCTGGGCTAGCTGTTTCCCCTTGCCTGCAGTCATTATGCTAAGCTAAGCTAACCATGTTCTGGCTGTCATTTAATATTTGAAAGACAGATACTGTATGAGAGGTATCAATCTTCTTGTCTAACTCTCTGCAAGAAAGTAAGCAAGCGTATTTTCCAAAATGTCAAACTATTCAGATTAATGGTTGAGAGTCAACCAGTCTCACTGCGGTTTTGCCCACAGAACTGCCCAGTTAAAAACAAAGCTGTGCAAATGAGCTGCTGGCAAGGGGTAACTGGAGAAGAGCTGCTGAGGGATGGAAGAGAGAAGAGAAAAACTTTGTCACACCTCTTGCTCATTGGGGCTCATGCTGTATATTAAAAGCAAGACACAAATAATAAAACAATTTAAGACAGTCTGCACATTCTTGTCCAGTCAAGAGCGCTGAATGTCCAGAGCTGAATTTGAAAATCTGCAAATGACTTTGTTCCTTGTAGATTTGCTGATTCCAGACAGTGGCACTCTCAGTGCCCTTGAGAGCAGCAATTTGTCTGCAGAGATTTCCAGGAAATTTTGAGGTGCTGACCATGAGATTTGTGTTAAGTATGGGAAGGCAGTGTTTCAATACAAGCCAGTTTCTGTACAAATCATTCTTTCTGCGCTCTTCTAAAGTCTCTTTTTTCGTGACAATCGAGAGCTGGGAACCAGGCAACTACACCCAAACCAGCTATCAGAAGACCTTCTCAGACCCTGCTGCTAATAGTCAGGGAGTTTCTGAGTTTTAAAGAAAGCAGAGTAATGGATTTAGGTAAGTACAAAGGAACATCAAATCTATTTCTCTTGCTGTCTTACACCAGGTGTAAGGCGTGAACGCTGCAGCTACAGAGGGGCCCGACACCGCCGCGGTGGACTCCAGACTCGGGACCCAACTGGCAAGGGTTTGGTCCGTTTGGGGCTGGGTTCTCGGGCCCAGCGGCATCTCCACCTGGAGGCTCCTCTCGCCCCACTTGCCCCCCTCCCTCAGGTGAACCACGTGCACCACTCGGCCATGAGTCCAGAGGAGTTCATCTCGCGCATCATGGAGGCGGAACCTCCAGAGATCTACCTCATGGAGGACCTGAAGAAGCCCTTCACCGAGGCTAGCATGATGATGTCCCTCACCAACCTGGCAGACAAGGAACTGGTCCTCATGATCAGCTGGGCTAAGAAGATCCCTGGTAAGATCAAAACTCCAGTCCTGAGAACTTAGAACTGTTAAATGATATAAATGGTCAACTCAAGTGTTTCTGGCTGAGCTGGTACGATAGATTTTGTTCTAAAAAATACAAACTTTTTAAGGATTTTAAACTGAAAATGGTTAAAAAAAAGTTTTAAAAAAGTGTCATGTGATATTAACTAATGAGCACAGTTTTTGCTGTAACTTAGTATGGAGGCAAATCAGGGCCAAACATTTTGTTGTTGTTTGTAATAAGATAATAATACAAATTTTAAGGAAAAGCTTAATCTAAATACATTTGTAAAATTTTTTTTAAAGGTTTAAGATGAAAATTTAAATGCATATGTAACAACTTTTAAAATCATATTATTTAATATAATTCTTGTGCCTAAAAATAGTTTTTTGTTCAACTGACTTTTTACCTTTCAAGATGCCATTTCTTAATCAAGTACATAAAACATACAATATAAACATATATAACATACACTAAAACATGCATAAATTCACATAGAATATTAATATTGTGACAGCAGGACGTAACCCTTTGTTTAATAACTCCATATTCCCTTCACATTCTGGTTGCTTTTGGGAATAATTATTGCTTTGTGTATACATTAGTTTGGTCATGGTCTCAATACAGACATTTAAACTTTTAATTAAGAGTCCAGTTTACATGTAATGAAATAAGACTGTGGGCTTTGTGTATGGCCTAGCTGAGTAAAAGAGCCATTTCAAGGTTAAGGTCAGGGTAAACATTCGGGCCATGTGTTCACTGGCGATGACTCTGGGTCAGTGGACGCAGTTTGGCTTCGTAACCATCAACAGTGTGTGGAAATCAGGCTTGCTGAAAACCAGGAAACAAAAGAGTGAGGGTTATAAAGGTAAAAACAAACCTGAGGCTACAGTAAACACATCTTCCACCCAGACGTTGCATGTGATGAACAAACAAATGAGATAATGGCTGCGTGGACAGACCAATCATAGAATCTAATCATTAACCTTTAATGTCTGAATTTATAGGCTGCAATTAGTGAATGTCTTTCTTTCCTGACTGACTGATGCAGTTTCTCTTTCCCCACTTTCCTGTCCTTTTGTACATGTTTTCCAATTCTCCATTTCTTTCCTTACCTCTCCTTCCCTTTACCCCTTCTCTCAGCCAGTGTTCAGCCCAGCAGGTAACTCCCCTGGAGAGGTGTTAATGTGAAGGGAACACAAAGACTCCCAGTTTTTTGAATAAAGACCATTTTCCCAGATATTTTAAAGACCATTTTCCCAGGTGTTTTTTTTCTATACTCTGACAGAAGTGAAAATGAGCATGCCGTGTCTCCTTTATAAAAGACCTAAGAAAGCTCACAGACAGGTGAGCAAGGTGCTGTCAGGAAAAATACATAGTTACCGCTTTTTGAGACCATGTTTCTGTCCGTAACTCACAGATAATGGTTGACAGGCACATTTTTAAAAACTAATTTACAGGAGTTTCAACAAACACTTTTTTTTTTTTTAACAGAGACTCAAATGAGAAGATGGATGTGAATGAGACATTAGCCTAGCATAAGTTGGGGGAAGCTAGCTTGCAATTTTTAACCTAGCTTAGCATAATGATTGGCAGAAGGGAGAAATTACTAGCTTTCATAAAAAGGGTTAAAATACACCTTTTAGCAACTCTAAATTTGTTTTATATTTACATGTTGTAGCTTGTTAGCTAACATCTGCTTTCCAGTTGTTGTTAGGCACCTTTAGCCTGTTTGACAGAGCAAAGCTAAATTGTTTTAGCCTGTTTCTGGTCTTTGTGCTTTTCATTTCTAAACTGAATGCACACAGATGAAATTCATATAATTTTTATCATCAGTTCTCATTCATCATTTTCCATGCATTATTTATTTTTCCATATTTATCCAGACAATTACTAAAATGCTATAGTTTTCCAATCATGAAAGGAGTCTTTTTCCAAGTTTTGTTCTATTTATGTTGCTGAAGGCTTCTCAGGCAAATCCAGAAGGGGGAAGGTTGAGTGTGAGGTGTTTGTCATGTGACAGTGTCATGTGACTCAGTAGCTTCACCTGTGTAGCTGAACCACATTTGAAATCAGACAGAAGCACAGGATCCTGATGAAAGCTGTTTCATCTGTTGAAATGTTGTTAACTGCACTGGAGCTTTAGTGAGTATCTGTTCAAATAAAGCTGCACCTGGGTTCAAACACATGGAGTCACAAAGAGAGGGCAGTTCACTGATAGTCGAGCTCCTGCAGCACTGTGTGTATGAGTATTTGTCTTGTCTGCCTCCTTAATGTGAAGTTAGTGTCATCCACCATGTGACTGGTGAAACAAGTCAGTTGTCGAAATCTAAAATTAATAATTTATTTTCTTGTCTTTGGCTCTTTTGCAATGTTCATGTGCAGAGTCCACACCAACAATCAGTAATGAGGAAGACAAACTGGAAGGAAAGCAAACAGTGCAATGTTGTATGTGGACATTTAAAGCCTCTGTGTTTGTGTTAATGCACTCAGTGCTGTGTCTTAGTCTTCACTGGTCATTTTCTTAATTCATCCTTTCACTAAACTAACCCTGGCTTATGCAAAGTTGGTTGCAAAAGCCTCTTTGGAGAGCATGTCTTAAAGCTTCAGATTATGACAGCGGAGGAGTTTATATCTCCAGTCGCTTTGATGCAAATGTTGCCTTTGATGCCCAGTGTAAATATCTTCCAGCTTCTGAATCCATGCAGAATATGGATAGGAGATGTATGTTCTTGGCAGAGGAGGCAAAAGTAAACACATGCTTTACTCAAGTAGAAGTACTGATTCAACTTCTTTACTCGAGTAAAAGTGAAAAAGTACAGCCTCAGAAAAGTACTCAAAGTATAAAAGTAAGTCTTGGTTTCTCTGAAGGACATGTTGTGCGTGTCAGCATCCGTCTTGATGTTGGGAAGCTTGCATTGATGCAAAACATAAGTAAGAAGCCTGTTTTGAGAGAGAGATTATGTGTAAAACTGTAGGTTGTAAAAGAGAGAGGAATTAATACTCAAGTAAAGTACAGATACTAGAAGAAAACTGCTGAAGGTTTTGTGCTTCGTTACGTCCCACTTCTGGTTCTTGGTCTAAAGGCAGCCTCTGTGTGATCTCAGGCTTTGTGGAGCTGAGTCTGACTGACCAGATCCACCTGCTGAAGTGCTGCTGGCTGGAGATCCTGATGTTGGGCCTGATGTGGAGGTCAGTGGATCACCCGGGAAAACTCATCTTCTCTCCAGACTTCAAACTGAACAGGTGAGCAGGCCCTAACTGAACAAATGTCTCTGTGAGTCAACCTCTTGCGTTGCTGTTTGTAAGGAAGGCTGGAAGTTGAAAGCGAGGTCTGACGTCAAACAAATTCTTCTGGAGCTGATCTTTAGAAGTCAGGAAAGTCATTCGAGCTGGAAGTAATATTGTATTTTATTATGTGGCTCTCACGGTTTTAATATCATTGGGTAATGTGTTTGTGAGACAGGCTCCTCTACTCCCACATTCTAAGGCTGGTTAGCTTTTGCTAGTAGAAAGTGTTTCCTCATATGCCTGTAGTGTGTGTGTGTGTGTGTGTGTGTGCGTGTGTGCGTGTGTGCGTGTGTGCGTGTGTGTGTGTGTGTGTGGACGACATTTAATGCAGCGGTTCCCAACCTTTTTCCTTTAGGGACCCGTTTTCTGTCATTTAGTAAACTGACTCAGTGATATATTTAATGGATATTTAATATTATATGCAAACTGTACAATAACCCCAATGATTGATGCCTTAGAATCAAGAAGACCTTGTGACCCCTTATGAAACTTTGCGGAGCCCTAGTTGGGGTCCCGTCCCCCAAGTTGCGAACCACCGATTTAATGGACTCATTGAAACACTTTTATTGTGAAACACCTGCAGTAAGTGTTGCAATTTATTAACAGTAATTAATTCATATCAAAGAAAGAAACTAGCAAGTAGGTCAGCGGTGGAGAGTAACTAAATACTTTTACTTAAGTACTATACTCGTGCACAGATTTGAGTATTCCACTGCTTTTCAAAAGGAAATATTTGATTTGAGCTGTAGTTACTAATAATTTTGCAGATTTACTTAAAATGATGTTGCATATACACAACAGAATATACAGTAGTATCTTCACAATGACAACATTACAGCAATGTTAAAATGCTCCTTAAATGCAATTATTAGTAATTATTAGAGCAACAAACTATATTTTCGGTATTGATTAATCTGTCATGTTCTTAATTAATCGATTGGTTGTCTGGTCCATAAAATGTTGATCACTGTTTTCTAAAGCCCAAGGTGACATCCTCAATTGTCTTAATTTGTCCACAACCCCAAAATAATCAGTTCACTGTCAGGGAGGACAAAAGAAACCAGAGAATATTCATATTTGAAAAACTAAAATCAGAGAATTTTGACTTTTTTTAGTAAGTAAAAGAATCAATAGACATTAAAAATAGCTGACAACTAATCAGTGAATTGGCGTATCATTTCAGCTATAATAATACAGCACCCTCAGAATGACCCCTCTTCACGGCTACACAATGAGTACTTTTACTTTATTACATTGCTGCTTTTATTTATGTAAAGTAGGACTTGACTGTGTTGGAAATCAGAAATAAAGTTATTTTAACTCCAGTTAAAATAAAAGCTGCAGCCTCTATTTCAGACTTTACGGCACTTGATTCTCAAAAACAGTCAACGAAGATGAACTCTTTCTGAATGTGAGTCTCGTGTGCAGCTGCGGTATGTTTGCCACAGCAGTGATGGTGGTTACGGTGTAATCTTCCCACATCGTTACACTCCGATGACGAGCTGACATCACACAATAAACAGGGAGTTCTAGCAGACCTTGGAACAGTAAAAAGATACCAGCACCATTTGCTGCCGCAGATATATCTCTGGACTGCCGACTCATTTTCTTGCCAAAAATATTTTTATCACTCGCCGTTCCCTTCCGTGCTGACCTTCAACTTTGGCCAGGTGACAGTTGGCTGTTTCTGGCACTTCACCGATTGTGTTCCCGGTAAACACGCTGTAATTAGGCTGCCACTTTACCAGCAATTTGGATTTCCAACAGCGGCAGTGGTTAATAAAATGGAGCAACATGTGTTCTTTGTGGTGTCCAAAGTGCAGTATTGAGACAGATTATTGGCCGTATTTGTTGTTGATCCAGCTTGCAGAAGGGTGTGAAGAAGTGTGCATGACCATATCAAACGCATACAAACACAGATGGCATGCATTTCTTATGAGGTGGCATTTTTTTAGATAAATTAATATATATTCTTACAAGTTTTAGTTTTTAATGCAATTAAATGATGCCATTGCATTTCCATCTGTTAGTAATTCAAACCACCCTTTGTCCATCATGGATGTTCATCATTCCCAGAGAATAAACCCTAATAAAATCCCACTTCTTTTCTGTGCGCCACCACGAAGCCCAAAATTTCAGTTACACATGAAAATCTAATGAACCGATTGCTAGACAGACATTCACGCATCTCAGAGGGTACACTTTTTGACACAAGCTTTTAGCTCTTTAGTAGATGCATTCATTGTTGGTTTTGGACTTTTTGTTATATGTTAACAGGAAGTAGCCTCGTCCTGTGAAAGAGTAAACTTATGATGGACGGTGGAAACCGAAGAAGTCTGTCCTCCTCTACTGGTGGGCTGAGTTCAGTGTGTGACCTTTCTTCTCCCACTACCACGGAAACTATCACTATAGGCTTAGGTTAACCTTGATGTGTTTTCATAACACAACCTTATTTTTCTCCATGGAGTGGTCCCCGGTAGCCTGTAGCCCTTTCTCCTTGAACAGCTCAGGAAAACATCCTGGATGCAAATCCATCCACTTACTCATCGAGAGGCTCAACAGAAAGCTTTTTCTCATTTTCTCTCTTTCGGCCCTTTGGTTCTCCTCTCATTCTCTCTCTGTCACATATTGTTACCACCTTCTTTCACCATTACTATTTCACTTAATTAGCCTGTGGTTTTTTACTCACTGTCTGTTTTTCAAGTGTTTCTGAGGAAAGTTGGCAGTGAGTGAATTACCTAGTTGGAAGCTGTTTGCTGTTGGTGTCTCAAAAGCAGAATTTGTCAAGTCGGAGGTGCAAAGTTTTGGAAGCCAACGGGACTGTAGTTAATGTTTTGTAGCCAATCAACACTTAGAATATTGTTTTGGGAACAGAAGTGAGGAATCTGAGAAAAGATGGTTCATCACCGGCCTCCAGGATGCCGCATAAATTAGCATCACAGCGGTAACGCCCGTGGTTGGATCCAGAATGTCGGGTCTGCTTTGCATGTTTGATGCACTGTTATTATCATAATTACAGCATTAACCAAACACTTAGGTTCACTTTGTGCGAACTGACAAGCTTCAGTGTTATCAGGCGATGATAAAACACCCAACAAGGAAGTTGTAGTAGTGCTGGTGCCAGTATCATCACTGGTTCCAGACCCAAGTCTTCATTTCTTTTCAGAAATTTGAATATTGAAGGGAAACCAATTTGCTGAGTGTAATCCACTTTTTATTATGCTTTTTTTTTTTTTGTTTCATTTTGTTTCCATTTGATACATGCTGCCTATATCCCAGAATAATACAGAACAAAACAATAAATGAGTGAAAGAAAGAAAAACAAGACAACATCAAAATACAAAAAAGTACAAAAAAAGGTAAATGTGGGGAGTTTGGGGGCGTGGCCTCGGTGTGGTAACTTTAATTAACATAGAAGAATAAAGAGAGTTAAGATGAAATAAATAACTATCTGACAGAGTTGTCATGGAAATGTTACACATTTGTATGTCATCTTGTGTCTTAGTGTTTACAGTTTAATCCTGGGAGCTACATTTGATGTGTCTCTGACATCAGTCCGCACTCCTCTGGAGTTACACCTCGCATTAATCAATGATTTTCTCATCAAAGATTCAAGATTCAGATAAGATGTACCTTTTTTTGTTTGGGGCTTTTAAGGTTATACAAAACACAGTTTGAAACACAGTTTAATATACTGTAACACAATCCCCTCGCACAAGAACCCTAACTTCCTCCACCATTACAAATGTACAATATGACGTATCGGAACACGGTGGTTCAATGGGAAGAAAGAAATATAAAAAATACAAAAGTGTAATATCTATACTTTCTAAAGGTCCGGAGTGTCCATCTTTTCTACCTGATCCAGAACTGGTAACCGTCTGTCTCTCCATCTGAGCAGTATATAAGGGACCTAGCCAGGAGCGATCATACTTTAGCTCCACTGGTTGAGATGGAGATCCTGCAGCGCCGTGCCAAATACTGCTTTTACGTCAGGAGGTTCTTTGGATATTTGTAACACGTCAGAAAAGAACTACGGCCCACATGTAGCCACATAGATAGCTGTATGACCATTAGCTGGCTCTACCGTAGACCACACCTGCTCGTCTTCTCCCTCCCTCCTTCCCTCCCTCTTTGTCTTTCACTTTATGCCTCCATCAGTATCTCTTTCTCCTTCTTTCTTTATTTCTCTAATTGATCTCTCTTGCCTTACATCTTTTGTTTGTCCCTTTTTTCTCTTTATTTCCATCTTTTTCTTTCTTCCTCTCCCTCTTCTGTCTTTCTTCCTCTTCTCTTTTTCCCCTTAAATTCAGATAAGCTTTACTGGCTTCATGAATGATGTTAGTGGCAAGCTAAAGCACACATTCTCTCTGTCTGTATTTGTGTCTTTCTCTTCTCTTATACCTCTCTGACCATCTCTCCGTCTCTCTGCAGGGAGGAGGGACAGTGCGTGGAGGGCATCATGGAGATTTTCGACATGCTGCTGGCAGCCACCTCTCGGTTCCGCGAGCTGAAGCTTCAGCGGGAGGAGTACGTCTGTCTGAAGGCCATGATCCTCCTCAACTCCAGTGAGTTTCACTGACGCAGACAAACCGCAGCCTACGCTCCATTCCCTCTGAGACGGATGAGGTAGTTTACAGCGGGCATGCGAATCCTGTTCGATCCCGTCCAGTCGGTACAGCGGAGTGTGTTTTTGGTTCTTGTGTAACCCAGATAAGTTGTCCCTCTGCTTTGTTGTGGTTACTGCAACTGTGATCTGGAACTAAGTGGGTCAATGACACCTGTCACATATCTGACCTGCATGGGAAAACTAATCTGACCAGAGCAAAACAACACTAATTATTATTCAGTCATTATGCTGATAAATAACTTAATGTTTTTATCTTAAAGCCACAAAACTGATTGTCAGAAAACATTCTTTACAATCAAAGACCTACTTATAAATCATGAAACATAGATCATTATAGTGTCTCCAGTATGCTTATCTCAGCTTTTATTTTGTATTTTTTAGCCTAGCAGGATATCTAAAACGCAACATTTGGTGCAAAGTTCAGCCATAAACTACAGATTTGTTTAGATGCTGCTGAAGTTAAACATCTCTGTGATATCTTGTGCTTTGTGAAATGAACCTGGTGCTGACCCCACTACTAGGAGGTTATGAGAGGATTGTGGTTAAAAAACTGAGATGATATATTTGACCCATTGAAATCTCAACTATAGCCATAAAATCCATTAAAGTACAATGTTACTAACCGTTTTAAGTGTCGTACTCCAGAGTTACACTATAGTGGTCCTTTTAGATTGAATTAAACCTGGAGGTGGTCCTCCCACTGAAGTTGGATTGTCAGAGCTTGTTTGAAGAGGGTTTTGGATGAAGTGACCTGTGAAGATGGACTTTATTGCCACGCGGCTTCTGAACCTTTCATATGTTCCCAATGGTCAGTGTCCTCTCCCCCCTCACCCAGAACCACCAGCAGCCACTGTACAGGTTTCACCGAGGTGATCGACCTCTCTGCACGTCCTCACACAGTTTAACAAAGCTCCTCCCTAAGACACACACACACACACACACACACACAGGGTCTTCTGCCAGACTCTGTTCCCTCTGTTGAATCTTCTCCACTGCAGCTGGGGTGAAAAAAAAGAACAAATTGTGAAAGAAGTGAAATTGAGTCTGCAAAAGAGAACAGGGAGGAATTTTAGGATTTATGTGTTTTGACAGAACGTGGTGGCTCAACTGCTCCATCTGTCCTGGTGCTGGGCAGACAGGGTGATCTACTGCTCGTCCTCTCTACTGCCACCTAGTGTTACATCTGGAATGTCCATCATAACGTCATCAGCAGCCGATGACGCGCCAGATGTTTACAAGAGATGGTTACTGTTAAATTGAAGTAACTCAGCTTTTAATATGTAAATGCTTTAAATCGACACTGGTGCCGTATATAATCTCTGTGTTTTCAGCAAGAACACTTTAAAGGCATATTTTTTCCCATTCCTATGGAAGTGTGTGGCGGTGTCTGTATCTGCAGAGATCTTTCCCTCACTGTATTTTCTTGTTTTGCTGTGTTCGGGACGTTTCTGGGCATCAACGTTTGGGCAGCCCGCAATGTCTGAGGTCAGGAAGAGGGGTCAGCTTTATAGTACACCCTTTTTATATGGTTACTGAGTGATCACCTTCAACCCAGTGTAACTACTAAGCCAGTGATTATTGCTGATTGAGGTATCTCGTTATTACTTTATGTTCTGTACAGCATCTATAGCAGCCTTAGTGGACCACATAACTGCTGATATGTTGATTTAAAAAAAAGTCCAATACCGTGGCAGTCTACCTCTGACATAAAAATGTGTGTAAGCCTGTTAAAATGTTGCTGTGCTGTGTGTTGCAGATCTGTGCACAAGCGCCCCTCAGACAGCAGAGGAGCTGGAGAGCAGGAACAAGCTGCTGCGTCTGCTGGACTCGGTGATCGATGCTCTGGTCTGGGCCATTTCCAAAATGGGCCTGTCGACCCAGCAGCAGACTCTACGCCTCGGACACCTCACCATGCTGCTCTCCCACATCCGCCACGTCAGGTACAGCCAGAGACAACAGGAAACTGTGAAACTGCAGCTGAATCCAAAAAGGGACTGGAAAAATCACACAGAGACATTTACATATAAGCCAACTTTATGTCTGTCTTCTTTATTTATTAGCTCTCCCAAATGTTCGCGTACATTAATGTGATCAACAGATATGTGAGCATCACATATCAATAAGCACATATAGATGATTTGATTTACAGCTTTTGATCTTTCCAGTGAAGATGTTTGAGACTTTTAAAAACATTTCTTATTTTAGTTGGTATAACATGTCATTTCAGCCTCACTGTCGTCCTCCCTCTCTGCAGTAACAAAGGCATGGACCATCTGTCCACCATGAAGAGGAAGAACGTGGTGCTGGTGTACGACCTCCTCCTGGAGATGCTAGACGCCAACACGTCCAGCAGCGGCAGTCAGCCGTCGTCCTCGCCAAGCTCCGACACTTACTCTGACCAGCAGCAGCAGCCGCAACCTCCGTCTCACCTGCAGCCGGGCTCACACCAGTGCAACACCGACCACGGCACTGTGCCTCCACATGGCCCCGGCGTAGACCAGATCCTGGACGGACACCTGCAGGCTCTGCCCCTGCAGTCCTCACCGCCATTTCAGAGTTTAGAGGTGCCCCACATGGACAGCAATGAGTGAGTTGCATTCTTTTAGTTAATTCAAAATAGTAATACCACAAAGGGACCTTTTTAATACCAGTAAGAGCACTGCATTCAGAGTTTTACTTGATTAAGTGTTAAAAGTATTCATTTATTTTCTCAGTAAAGTCTCTTAGATAAGAAGAGGAGTAGAATTTTGGTTGGTGTGAGTTTTTTTTTTATTTTCTTCGATTAAAAAAAGAAGATGAGAACTGAATGGAGATATGGACAGTTGTGTGGCTGTAAGAAAAGGGATTGTAGGAAAGAAAGAGACACCAGGGCAGATGGAAGGAGGAGAGAAAAAGGCGAAGAATAGTATAAAAGGATGAAAGAAGATAAGAAAAAGAATGAAAAGGAAGGTAGGAGGGAAATGACCCTGCAAAGACCATGCGGACGCACGTCAAATTGAGAATGTGGTGTCTATGTTTCTATATCTGTGGTCTAGAGGTGAAATATTTTACATGATGGACAAACTTAAGTCTGAAACTTAGTTCATGCCAGGGCGGTCACCTTTTCAAGAAATCACGTTCGAACGAATTTCAAATGACGCGCTATTCGTTCAAAAGAATTTGAATAAATGATCTATAAACACAGTACACATCTATGACACCACTCAGAAAAACAGAAAAACTATATTAAAGGATAAGACTAAGGCTCTTACCGGATATACATCTTTCTCTCTTTTGGGTGATGGCATTTTTACAACCTTCTGGTGGAAGGCTAACGTTAGAAGTGAGCCCGCGGATTCGTTGTCAGTGTAGAGTTTGACAGAAGTATGCTGTGGAAATGAACCACATTTAAAAAGTGATATCCCTAGTTTATGCAACCAGGTGTTGTTCCTCTGTAACAGTACTTTAGTGAATGTACTCATTAACTTCTCCTCTGGTAAACGACTGTGATAACTTTCCTCACAGTTACATCCCTCCGGAGCAGTGGTCACTGGACGCGGGAGACGCCGGTCCATCGGTGGAACCAGCAGACTACATCATCCCAGATCGAGTTGTCATGGAAACTGCCTTGGTGTAAAGGGACTGTAAGGGACAAACTGAGACTGGACCTTAAATGGCTTTTCATCCCCCAAAGATCAAGAAGAGGAAACAAAAATGGATTTTAAAAAAAAAAAACAAAAAAAGTGCTATTGTGAGGTAAAGTTTTTTTTTTTTTTCTCTTGAGATGTTTCTAGTCTTTAAAAATAATGTTTTTGATCGAATGTATATTTTGTGTGCGTAAATATTTCTTGTGAATGTGCACTACAGTAGGTGTTCATGAGAACATCGCTGAAACCTTTGCCAGTCAGTTTGAGCTCTTTTTTGATATACAGTATTTGTATCTCCTTTTTCCACCTCGGTGTAACATCCAGAACAAGCCGTCTACAAACCGTCTGCAGTGACTTACAGAAACCTGGTGCATGTTGTCAACACAGTTAGCATCAATTCCCATAAGCATTTGTAGTCTTATAGCTAAAAAAAGGGCAGTGTTTTCTACTGCACTGTGGTGTTTTTCTCCTTCACTACTACTGTGTACTTTGGTGTTTTAATCAGTGACTGTTCATCCAGGATTTTTCTACTCTCTTTGTACAAACTACATGTGTCAGTGGAGTCAAGAAACAGCAGTTTGTGGCCTTTTAACAAAAATGACTGTTAGCAGAAGCTTTCTACTCTCTTCATGTGGTTAAATAAGGCTGGATTTACACAATATGATATGTGGCACAGATAGAAGTTCTTAGGTACACCAGCAAACGACACCTGAAAAAGTCAAATCAATATATTGTTATTGATGACAGGATAGCTCTAAAACTGACTGCCTAAGCTCTTGAAGTTATCATGTAAATATAATAACTTGCAAACTGTACATATATTTAGGGTGGCCGTTTCATTTCCACATCAAAAAGGAGGACACTTTGCATACACGGGGACACGCAAGCAGATATTTGTTTGGTATGATCCGGTTTTAAATGTTAATGTTTTTCCACCAGATTACATAAAGGTGCATACACATACCACATAGCTAATAACAAATATACAAGATACAGCTCATGACAACGTGCCCTTCCAATTCAGATTACATAGGTCTAATAAACATCATACAGAAACTATTCTTAATGTTTTTATCTGGATAGATAAAAGGGAAAACAAATGCAGCACCTTCTGTTTCAGATGTATAGACTTTGCCTATCTACATATGAGTATGAGCAATTTCAGAATTTCAGTCCAACAACCGACATTAGCTCACTTTAGTTCTCTGACTGAGAGCTTGATTGACAGCCTGGTGGTAACTTAGCAACTGCAGTGATCCAGTGGCGAATCAGCACATGGCTCATTTGAATATTAACATTAGCCATGTGTTGATAGGTCACACGAAAATGTAACCAATGAAATGACTTAGTCTGACACACATTTTTAGCCAATAAGTATTAAACTAACGAGGTAATGTGTCAGAAGGCGGACTGTTTTTAGTTCTTTTCTCAAAAGGAGGACAAACGAGTGTATACGGGGCATTTAAAAGCGGACTAAAGCCGGACGAATGGCCACCCTACATATGTTATAATTCTAACATACAAAAATGACATGCTAATTGTATACATTCTGACATGCTAACTTCTCTATGTAAGCCATATTTTAACAATGTATCAAGCTAATGTGCCAAACTAAATGTTAGCATGTTTTTAATTACTAGCTAAACATTAAAATGTAACCTTATTTGTTACTATGTATACTTCATGTATTTGTGACACTTTTAAAAAGTAATAAATTAAGTCGCGTCAGCCTCAGCTGTACTTTAACACCAAAGATAACAGGCTAATGCTAGCATATGATCATGCCAAATATCACATACAAAGATTAGTATTCTAACATGCTATCTTCACCACATTTGCGATGTGGCAAGCTAACCTGTTGCGTACTGTTAATGTGCACAATTTGAGTTCATGTGTGACCTTCGAATGAGCTCGGAAAAACCGACTAAGTGAACTTTGAGTTGTCGCACAATACCGTCCAGGTCATTAAAATGAATGACTGAATTTCTTTGCCTTAGCTGTACAAGACTAAAGCTAACATACCAAATGCTTCCATTCTAACCCTATGCATTTTAAGATGCTAACAAGCTAAAAAAATAACAGAATAAACATTAGTAATATGTATGCATATTGACATTCTCACATAAGACATTCTTGGCACCAGCATAAGAGATAAAAACTGTAGTTTAACAGGATGCACATCCGTCTCGTGCAATATCAATGTACGCTCAATATGAGAATGTTAACATGCTAATTGTTTGCATGTTGATAACTCACATCAGTAGGAAGTTAACTCTGTAGCAGTCTAGCTACACTCAAATTCATTAAAAAGAGAAGAAATGTAGTCCTGTTTTACTTGCTGCACATTTACAGATAAATGTATATATACTTAAGTTCATAATTGTAATAATGACTGCTGTAGCTTTAGCTGTAGTAGTGAAGCTGACCGTGATTACATATTATTATATGTGTTATATGTTATTATATATCATATATTAATATGCTAATATCAGTGCATATAAATAACCTGCCAAATACATTTGTAGCCTTTTCTGAACTGTTTAAATGTTTGTTAAACTGCAATGAAAGCAAAATGGCAAACCATAGTCCAGGTTAACTTAGTGCACGTATATGTAGTGATTTTAGCAGATATTTTATAGTTTGCAACAATTTCAGGATCTTTATGTACTTTTTATCTATAAAATATTAAATAAACATAGAAAACAGGATTCTCCGTACAATAATAATTGTGTTAAAGTACTGACTCAGCACAGCGTATGCTGTTTAAATACTATATTAAAGTATAGTAGGCTACACCTAAATTGCACATAATGGAATCATCACTGTCCTTCGCTATAATTTATGCACTTTCCTGAATGGATAACACATGAAGATGGATCTGAAATGTGAGAATCAGTCCAGAACTCACTTGTTTTGTTGTTCTTGGCTTCACAGGCATGAGGAACTGTTGGCTACAAGTCCTTAAACTATTTGTCTTTTTACACATTTAAAGCCTCGTGTTTTGGACTCGTTTGCTTTGGTGTTTTGGATTTAAGCTTTCATTAATCACTCTGCTGTTCTCTTCCAAGAGAACAGTGGTGGGAACAGTCGGTACCATCCAAGTTCAAATTGCTTTGTTTTGATCCGGCCAAACAAACTGAAACAGTAAATGCTTCAGAAATTTGGATAAGCTTCCCCAAACGCATCATTTAGGTCCTTTCTGGATGTGCGGTCATGAGCTGTGCCACTTTCCTGCCTGTGTAAATTCAGCCTTGGTGTCAGATTATTCTACCACTGCAAATAGACAGATACATGTTCACTGTCCTTTCTTTTTCTGCTGTCTGTGGCTTGTACATGCATGCAAACACACACACACACACACACACACACACACACACACACACACACACACACACATACATACACACACACATCTGATGCTGAAAATATTTCTCTGCAGTTTTTGCAAACATGCACATTCATATCTCAGATCTCGTTGAAGTCAATTCTGTTAGTCCTAGCGATACATGTACACATACAGCCACAAATCATGGCAAACACGGTTTATTGTCAGTCAAAAATGACAATCTATACATCCCATAAATAAGAGTTCACAAAATAAATCAAACTTTACACACTTTTTGTTGTTTGTTTCTGTTCTGCTGGCGTGTGAGGAGATTATGTACAAATTGGTATCAAACACTGAGTTTCAAATCAAATTATACACTCTCTTTAACATTTAGGATCAACAATATTAACATTGTAAATTAAATACATTTAATTACTTTGATTGTGCATGTACACAGCTACATTCAGTGCCCAAAGGATCACTTACATTCATGTTCTACTCCAAGTCTGGCTTGTCAGATTTTGACACCAGTCTGAAGGTCTGCACGACTGAAGAGTGTTTTTAAAGCAGCGTTCAGGTAAATCCCACATGTACATTACAGTATTTAAACAACAAACTGTGTTTTTCAAAAACCAGTCTTTGTTTTAACCTGTTTGATTCCTGCAGGACTTTACTCCATGAGGCCAACTGGGACAGCGTTGGGTAAGTCATTATTCTTAAAGGAGGATAGTTCAGATTTCTTTTGCATTAAAAAAAAAGACACTGCCACATTGTTACCTTGTTTAACAGCTAGATGGCAGTGTGATATGTTTGCTGCTGTTAATCCTTGGACACAGGACTCCCAGAGCTAATACTGCTGTTACCATATCTCAAAAAGAAACCTTTAAAACTTCATTAAGCGATATTTTGATATGACTCAAATCTGAAAAGGGTTGCTCATAATAGCGAGCACACTGAGAATCAACTCCTAACTGTAGCAGAAGCCGTAGTACAGAACCGTCAGCCTCTTTTTAGCTAACAGTTTTGAATATACTGCTGCATATAGATTTAATGGTTCAAACTCACATTTGTCATAGCAAGCAGTTTCCAACAAACATAATCGACAACAAAAGTTTAGCTACATGTCCAGCACCAAAACGCAGATGGACAAAGTTAGCTAGTAGTCAGTTAAGAAAGTGGACCATCTAGCTAAAGAGCCAGATATTGTTTGCTGGATGTGCAAGTAGGCAGTTTTTATGCTACTACATTAGCTAAAAGCAGTTAGCATTAGATGCATTTCTGTCAGTGCGTTTAAGAGGCTTTCTGCCACCTAGTGGTAAAGAATCGCCTAATACAGATTTAATTTGAGGATCAGTGCCTTTTTTTTGCTAACCATTTAGGTTCAGTGATTTGCTAAAATATTCAAGAATGACCTCCGAAAACACTGGCTGTAAATTTGACATCGTATTTTATCGTATCGGCTCTCACGAAAAGGGAATACTAAAATTCACTGTAACAACCGCGTATGACTCTGAATGCCACAAATATACAATATAAAAGCATTTCAAACTATTGCCCCATGTTAAATAACTGATAGGTTTCAGTTCCACACTCACACTCAGAAACAATAATTTACCTATTTCTCTCTCAGTAGTTTTCCCTTATATACAAAATTCATCACCATTAAAGGTACATTATCTGATAATTATGGTTGTTCTGTTGGCTACAGAAAGGAAAGGCATGTCTGCAGATGAGTCACTGCCATCATTTAAAAAAAGTCATATCTTACATATTTTAAATACCTCCAAATCAAACAACTAAATCAAACAACAAAATCAAAACAACACACCTCTCTGTACAAAATGTGCTATCAACAAGTGGCTGCCTTCTATGAAAAACAGTAAAAATAGCTGCAGTGGTAGAAAATGGCTACTCCTCGATTTCTGGGCGCTTTGGTAATAACGGTCTTTTATCCTTCAAATTAGATCCAACGGACTATAGTGAAAGTACAAAAATGAAAATATACTGTCGATATTAAAATAAATCTTGACCATTTTTTTGTCTTTGCACCGTATATTGAAAATGTTCAGTGGGGACGTCAGATGGCAAATCTACATATAGGAAAAAGACAAAACTTCAAAACAAACCAGTGATATGGCTTCTTTTTTTTTTTTAAACTGTGGAGCTCCACAAATAATAAATACATTTTTAAATACACCAATAAAATGTAGTCAAAAAACACACAAGATGGGGCCTTCGGACATGAAGGGCGGTGCTTCTTTCTCTCTTGTGAAGGGAGAAGGTGCCTTGCATTTTGACACTGTTAACGGGTCCATTTTGGATTCCAGCCTCGGGTCTTTCAGTCCTCCAACTCATAGACGAACGCCACCGCTGGGCGTCATGGCAGTGTTCATGTGGGCGGAGGGCCGTTGGTGTAGCGCAGCATGGGGTAGAAGGAGCGGGCGAAGTTGTTGGACAGTGTACAGCTGTAGTCCTCTTCGGACAGAGGCACCAGGCAGGCCAGAACCAGCAGCATGAAGAAGAGCAGGTGCAGGGGGAAGGCAGCTCGTAGAACCCGGTAGAAGAGCGGTCGTCGTGGGGAAGAATCCCTCCTCTCCTCCCTGGATGAGGACAGATGTTATAGATGATTAGGGTGGAAGTTTATTTTTAACTTTGCAGCTGTAGTTTCACCTAAAACCCTCAACTCAAAGTCCATTTAATAGCTTTTTCAGATCTTTCAAGTTCTACCTATTCCTCCTGCTGAGGATGACCGAGTGGCCTTTAAAGGAAGACAGTGATTTTATTTGGTCAGTTGACCCAAATTACCAAAGAGAGCACAATTTGTTTCACTCATAAGAGTGCTGCAGGAATGAGTTCTGAAACTGACTTAGCATTTTAGTGCTTCCTGCTCCCAGGCCTCAAAGTGGGTTTTTGGTCTTTTAAGCTTGTGTTAAGGTCTGGTTAACACAAGCTTAATATAACTTTCATGTTATATAATACCTCACCTGTGAATTTTGGAGCTTTTACGTGTCTTAAAACAGGCTGTTGCTAACAAGTGAAAATGAGACTAGAGGTTGTCGGTGACAATAAACGCCAGCGAGACTTCTCTACCTTTACAGCCACGTTGTGTTTATACTTGCGCTCCTGCAAACTAATCTAACTCAAACTTCCCTACTTGTAGATTTAAAGTGTAAGATTTAGTTGAAGTTTAGTGGTAGTTTTACAGCGGAGCGTTAGCCGGTTTACTTCTGGCGATCACATTTACGCTTCAAAAACCATTCAATTATTCCAATGATACGTCTATTGTAAGAAAGTGTCATCAGTACTGAGGAGACCAGACTATGAACTGTGTTCACTGGAACTGCTTTCTACCAAAGAAAGACTTTACCTGTTAAATAATAATGAAATGTTAAAATTAAATTAAACTACAGACTAAATTCTACTCTTCTCCATTCATTTGAATGAACTGAAAGTACACAAAGTGCAGTTCCAGCTGGTAAAAGTTACCTTCTCGTTGCCAGTTTTCCAACTGTAGCTGCCTGTAGACCAGCGTCCTCCTGCAAAGAAGTCAAAGGTGTTAATCACTTGTGTCCTAATGGCTACGACTGATAGACGTGTAGTAAATGTAATGTCAGTGTGGCTTCATAACGGTGTCAAAACAGGTCAAATGTTCCTTTTGTCCAACACTGCAAACTCCCCTGTACTTGTAGTACAAATAGTGTAACATGTTAGCCTGTTGCCCAATGTAACAAAATGAAATGCTAATTGTAAGCGCGTTAACATCTTTCAGGTGACAGTATGACTTTTCCTTAGGCAAAACTTTCAATTTTCCATCGTAGAATGTAAGTAAATTAACTCAATCAGTGTGCTTTCATACAAATTTGAGGTACATTTACTCGACTACATTCCAGAGCAATATATTGTAAACTATTAGTTACTTTACAAATTCTGAGCTTATTAAATGATGCATTGTTACAGATTAAACTACCCAACTTCACCCAGCTACTCACACTTTGGTGCATCAGTAATAATAGAACAGTTAGAGTGGCCATCTTCTGCATTATTCATTGTTTTTAATCTGTTGATCATTTTCTTGATTAGTTGTTTGGTCTAAAAAATGTCCAATCTCTTGTCCCCATTCAGTTTACTGTCATAGAGGACTAAAGAAACAGGACAATTTGAACTACTTGATTAAATCATTGCAGCTGTACTTCTCCACCACTGTCCATCTAACCAAAGGTAAATATCCATGTGTACCTTGTGCAGCAGCAGAGGAGATCTCAGTGTTCCCAGACCGATGCTGTCCATTTCAGAGCTGGTTGAGCAGGTTTCCTGAGACAGACAGCAAACACACCATCAGATAAGACTGACCGAACCAGTTTGAAGTCACCAGGCTCAGACGTCACAGAGCACTGACAGTTAACTTTAGATAGCATCTCATTTATACTGTCCTTTTTGTTTTGAGGAAAGTCGAACCCTAGACTGATGTACATTTGTTTTCTCACTGATTTTACTTAATTTAAAGGTGCGTCCAATTATTTTTCTGTAGTTCCCCCCAAACTGTTTTGGTAACGCTTTATTTCACAGCTCTGCAATTTCTGAATGATTTCCTAAAAGTTTCTGAGAAAGAACTACTGTTCCTTAAATGTTGTTGAAGAAAGGCTCCAATTAAACCGAAGACAATGTTCATTCATTACTCATTTTGAATTGTGCAATTTCCTATAAACAAATGAGATTTTTGTGTGTTTAGCTAGCCTGTTACCAATAAACTTGTCCTTCATACTAAAAATCATGCTGGTTTCGGCCATTTATGACTGATTTCTCCATGCACCTTGCAAGTAGGTGAAGGCTGATAGAAATAACTACTCTGCTGTGGGCTGACTGAAACATTCTCCAAAACTACAAAATTGGGATTCATTTATTTGAAGTATACTAAATTACAATCTTTTACAGGAAACTTCTATAAAATGATTGTGAAATTACGGATCCATTAAATTGTTCTCCTCATAGCTGAGTTTAACAGCTTCACCAGTGAGCAAGGAGGACATTTCAGGATTTAGTGACATTGTCGTGCACAAAATAGTTGCAGTTTTCGGGGCGTAAACCTGCAGCGGCCGGAGGTTCGACTCTCTTTCCCCACTTTCCTGTCCTTATCGATTAAAGGCAATAAAAAATATTTCAAAATAGTTGTTTTATTTGATGCTATGTTTTATTTTGCTGTTCTACATTAAACATTTTAAAAACTGATGGATTGGAGAAGTTTGTCTAATTTTAAAAACATAAAATAAAAAGGTTTTGTAGAAAAAGGTAATTATCATAAAGTTTTTTTTTTTTTACATTTTAGTCATGTTGTGTCCTCCATACAGCAAAACTATGACACAGCTGTAATTTACCCTAATGTCAGCACATTAAATTGGTCTCATTTGCTACTTGGATCACTTTTTGGCAGGAAGAACAGCCACTAATCTCACAACAGAACCCTGAAAGTAAAAAGGACCTACCTGTGCCAGTCTTCCCTGCAGCGTGTGCAGGTCAGCAGCCGCCTGTCGCAGCAGGAGGCGCAGTTTGTTGCAGATGACATGGACCTTCTCCTTGGCCTCGATGCTGTCCTCTGCGGTGGCCTCCAGGAGGAGCTGAGAGGAGATCTCCTGCAGAGAGGAGACCTGCTGCTGGCGGCCGCACAGCTCCTCCTGCAGAGTCTGCAGCAGGGGGCGACAGAGAGCACGGGAGTCAGCACACAGCTGGGACTGAACAGAGTCTGATGTATAGCTCACTAACAGTAGAACAGGTTTAACATGACAGCTGGAGCAGGTCATGTTAGCTTGGAGCAAGAAAATCCAGTCTGGAAAGTAACTGAAAATAAATACTAATAAAAATATATTTCTACTGGTTCTATAAAATGATGCTTGTCAAATTAATTATCACAGATGTGTCTATTTACAGTTAAAACATAATCCAGGCAGCAGGTTTGACGAAAATCTCAGTTATGGTAATGCCAAAATAAAGACTACATTTCCCATAAACCCCGTCACTAGCTGTTGGATAGTCTCATGAACTTCCTCCAGTTCCCCTCAGCTCATTCAGACTCAAACATTGTGGAAGACTACATAAAGTACTCTCACCGTCAGCGTGTCTCGGTGCTCCAGCAGGACGGAGCGTGGCGCCGTCGGCTCGCTGACGTTCACGCCGCGGAGTTTGTTCTCGGCCTGAGCGAGCCACAGCAGCAGGGAGTGCAGCGTCTCATGGAACTCCTGAAGAAGAACACAGAGTGCAAAGGTCATACGAGTATTTTAACAAGTTTCATTTAACAACGCAGCTTTAACGGCAGCGAGGGTCTCCGTGTCTAACCTGACACTGCATGAGCGCCGCGTGCAGCCTCCTCTCCCAGCTCTCCAGGCCGCCGCAGGCCTGTGTCCAGCTGTGATTGGCCGAGGCGAGGGCGTCCTGCAGCTCCCGCAGCTCGGCGCTGTCGCCCCGCAGGAAGTGACGGCTGCTCAGGTTGACGGAGATCATCAGACACTTGTAGCTGTTGAAGGTCTTCTGCATCTCCTGGACCAGAGAGAGGGAACAGATATGATGTGTTAATGGAACTGTGTGAGTGGACAGTTTCACCGCCTGTATCAGGTCTTTACTAATTCTCATTCCTCACTGCTGCCCCAGTATTAAATAAATAAATAAATAAATAACTGGTAACTTTAGTTTATGAATGTCTGACATTTGGCAGCCACATTCAAGGTTTTTAATTTGCTTTCAGTACCTGCAGATAGTCTGATCTCACCATGTGGTTTCAACCTTTGACCTCAACAAAATACTGAAAATAAACAAATACACACAGTTGAGAGGAAGATTCTGCTCCTCCTTCGAAATCCCTGGAAGCCTTTTAGATACAGCACTGATTGGTTTTTATTCTGATCACATTGAACTCAATTTAACCTTTAGTTGCTCTACGAGGCAACAAACCTTCTGGCAGGTGATTCAGTCGTATAAAAAGCAACTTTTTCTGATTCTTTTTTTAAAGTAAAACGTGTGCTTTTGCTACATGACCAGTCAGGGAAGTGCTCAAGTAACCAAAGAACCAACAGTAAAATATATATATATATATATATATATATAGTTAGTATAACTATAATATATATATATATATATATAGTTATATATTTAGTAACTAGTAATATAGCACCCATTTGTAGCATTTGGCATTACAGAGTTTTGTAATAGATTATTTTATGTGAAATATTACTCTACATCCAGTTCATATTATATATATGTAGAATTTTTACAACACAGTATGTCTATTACAATCCTTTTGTAAAACACCCTGATGAAGTTTAAGAAGATTTGGAGTATTTGTGGATGTAACCTGCTCTCGGAGATGTCGTCGTCGTTTTACCTTTAGTTTCCTGATGTTGACTTCGATGTCTCGGATGCTGGTGGACGGCGTGATCCGCTGCAGCCTCTCGAGCTCTGGCAGCACCCTTCCCAACCAGGAAGTGACATCGCAGAGGTCGGCGTTCAGCTTCTGCCACTGCTCCAGGTCCTGCTTGATGTCCGTCTCGTGGTTGAACCTTTGGACTTGCAGCAGCTCCCAGCGCTCAATCACACCTGCAGAAAGACGGAGTTATGGAACGCTCTGCTGAATGCAGCCTCTACGTTGGTTGACTCTTTAAACATATTAGCAGGATTACTCATTGAAACTAATTTATTTCACGATTACCATAAACCCAGGATTAAGTGTGCATGGTAAGCCTTTTCTACAGCTGATAATGTAACTGTGGGTGTTATTAAATGTGCTAAATTCAGCATTTTAACATCGAAGAAATCAGTACCACCTAATTTAGGAGGCATTTGTGTGAATACTGGAACAAACAAGAGGCTCACAGAGATGAATATCAGCCTCGATATGATGTTTCTACATCATGTATGTTGATACAATAAGTCGACCGAAAATGAAATGACAGTTCTAACAGTTGACACAGATATTTTTCTCAATGTCAAAAAGACTAACAAAGACTGTTTTGACGTGTTTTGCTCTGTTTTAGTCCACTTTGAATGAAGTTACGATGATCTGTGAAGTAAAATCGCTGTTTTTCTCTATGGAGTCTGGTGGAAATTGATAGTGATATTACGGCTGTTTATGGTTAAACAAAAGGTCTATTTCTGTAGGGATCCTTTCCATAAAGCTGTCAGACACTGACAATAACAATCTGAGTCTGTCAGTGGCAGAAACTACTACTGTTAGTGGACAGACTTTGATAGACGCATTTGTCCTCAAGGATTAGCTAACATTACAACAGCTATTACCTCATCTAACTCTTAAGGGATTATTAAGACAGAGTTGGTGATTGTTGGAAAGACTAACTATTGTTGGACTAGAGTTTTATTTAGTTTATGTCCAGTTTGATTTTACGATTATCTGCTAGGTAAATCACTGGTTTTGTCTATGAAGTCTGGTCGGCTGTAGCCACTGTTTTGGTCTGGGAGCTGCAACATTGAGTGGCAAGTGAATTATATATATATATATATATATATATATATATATATATATATATATATAAAAATCTCATGCAGAAAGAAAACCTTTGGAACATTGTCTTTATGAGAGGAAACCAGAGGTTAATGTTAGTCACAGAGACCAGTCTAACGTACACTTTCCCATCAGGACCTTGAATGTTTTTCAGTTCTCCACCAATTCAAACAGAGTGAGACCTCTCGCTGTCAGTGTACCTGTGCTGGTCTGTTTGTCGGCGGTGCTGCTGGTCAGACCCCGATCGTCCAGCTCCTCCTCATCGTTAAGGATCAGTTTGACTCTCTTCACGCTGTTGATGCTGCCGCTGCACTCCGACATCAGCTTAACCTAACACACACACACACACACACACACACACACACAGAACAACAAACACAACTTTAACACTCGTCTTCCCTAAGAAAATAACTCAGTTTATCATTCTGCACCAGGCTGGAAGATCTTGGTGTGTGTGTGTGTGTGTGTGTGTGTGTGTGTGTGTGTGTGTGTGTGTGTTGTGTGTGTCCTTACGTAGCCCTGCTGGTGGAAGGGAGTACTGGTGTGTGCGGGACACAAGCTCAGGCCTCGGATGATTTCTCTAGGAACTCGTTTCCTCTCTGGGGAGCTGGGCTGGTGCCAGCTGGGCGGGTCGGTCACTGACTTCACTGAGAAGTAAAAGGAGAAAAAATAATTAATAAAGGTAGTTTTCAAATTAAGGATAAAAAAAAGAAGCAAGGGGCGAAAACAAAAAGACCAAAGGGTTCAAAAATAAACTTCAGAGACAGAAAATAGGAGACTCATGACTCTTATGATTCACACAAACCCTCTGACACATGCATATGACTAAAGTATCTGCCAAATACATGCAAAACAGCCTCAAAAGCAAACGGCATCCATTGCAACATCATGCAAGGTTCATGTTTATGTGTAAAGGTTTGATCCCTGTAAAGACAAATAGGTTGCAGTGGTGCACAGACACATCTGTAAGTCAATGGGGCAAAACAAGATGGTGATGGGATGGGGAATGGGGGGGTTACAGCTGGATGGGTTTGGGGTTGCTAGGAGACGGGATGTCGGCCCATAAGCACACAGTGAGGCAGTTGCATGCAGGAGGCAGAGCGCCTACCCGAGGCCGCGTTCACTGCTCTGACCGTCGCTTTAACAAACGACTCTGAGCTCTCTGTGACCTTCACATCTGGAAGAGAGATCGGAGGTCAGCAGTGTCGGACCGCTGCTCTGCACAACTTATAAAGATGTTTCAGGGAGTATTGAAGAAGTTCAGTTCATCAAAACACAGGGACACCAAGAAGAGAGGAAGACAAAGATGTCTGCTGGTGATATTCTATGTCTCTATTGTCTGAACAGACTATGGCTCAGAGGAAGAGGATACACACACAGTACTCTTCACAGTGCTGATTTTATATAGAATATCACCAGATTATAATATTCTTTAAAGTGAAAACGTAAGTATTTTTCAACCTGGATCCTATTTTACAATGTTTTTTACAACTTTTGTTGAAATTGGTCCAATATTGAGCGAGAGCAACGTCAATGTTTTGCCAGCAAACAGATTATTCCTTACGGGTTCTTACAGAGATCAACCTTTTTAAGTAAGATCCTTTTTGTTTAACCAGAAACATCAGTTCTATATCTCTGTTCAAAGCCACCAAACTCCATTGAAAAAAACAGTACAGTTTTACCTCACAGAACACTGGAGTTGCTGGTCTACCGCTGCCTTGATCAGTTACTTCGGGTCTGTTATTGTGTGACTTTTAACCTTTTAAAACACGGGAACATAAATCCAAATGTCCTGATTACAGTTTTGCGGCTGCCTGATGCAGCGCTCTCACTCAATAATGGACCAATTTCAAAAATACACAAGTTTCCCTCGGTCTCCTTTAATTTCACTGCAGTCTGGAAATCAACTTGCAAGGACCTGAAACTAAAAGTCAGTCACAGTAAACAGTTTATATTGCCGTTGCTTGGCAACGCAGGTGGAAGCGGGGACTGTGTTGAACGAGGTTGTTCGAGGATGCTCTGAGATCTGGGCTTTATTTAAAAAAAAACAAAACATTTTTCATCAGTTTTTGGACAGCTGAGTGTTGTGGAAGGCACCACAGAGGAGTTTTCAATAATTCAATAATCTTTCTTCTTTCTTACTTGTGGCTGCTGTAATATGTTTTGACAACATAAATTCTCAGGGAAAATAAAGTTGGAACATTGTTGATTATCGCACCTCTCAACGTGTCAACAAAGTAAGCTGCAGTAGGTAATTTTTATAAAAATAACTTTTTGTCATATTTGTTGAAACTTTCTATATATCCTGACAGTAGTACATTAGACAGATAATCTGTGATAAAATCTGGTTCCTCTGGCTTCTCTTAGTGCTCCTAATGGTATTTACCAGAATGCACTGGGCCACAATGAAAAACAACCAATCAGAGCCATAGTTATTTTTATAAAAGTTATCTACTGCAGCTTTAAAACCATAACTTTTCAATAAATAATTCACTGTCGCGAATAGTGAACAGCGGTTATTACCTGACAGAGCGCTGAAGTAGGTGGCGTCCTCGTCATCCTCGTGCGACGATGATCCCCCTACGTCGACCGTGTGGTCCCACTCCAGCGGGATAGAGTCCACACTGACGGGGGTCTCTCGCCCCGACCGCTCCAGAGGCGGTGCCAGAAGGTGACACATGGCCTGTCGTCCGGCTGAGACTCCACCTACTGCCGGAACCTCCTCCTCTTCCTCCTCCTTCTTCCTCGCCCCCCTCCAGGAAGTCCCATTGGTCAGATCAGGTGTGTCGTCCAGGTCTGTATCCCGGTCCGACAGATCCCTCTCCTCCTCCAGGACCTTGAAGAAATATTCAGGAAGAAGAAATTAAGCAACAGAAGCTAACGTAGTGTGGTGTAATAATGTGTAAATAGACTGTGTAAGAAGTGAGCTGTGAGCTGACCGGGCGTCTGTTGACCAGGCGGTGGTGGAAGCGAGCCACTCTGCCGAACACCTCCTGGCAGTAGGAGTGCAGCTCCTCCAGCTCGTCCTCGATGAGCACGGCGTCCAGTGGAGCGCTCTTCTGGATCAGGTTCTCCCCAAACACGATCAGGGCGTCGATCTTGTTGGTGTTCAGGGTGATTTCCTGCTGGAAGCCCTGCAGAGAGACATTTTGGTCGCGATGTTTAACGAAGGTGTGAAAATGAGCACTGGATGTTGCAGGTAAACAGTTGTTAGTGTCAGTGGGAGCAGACTTACGTTCAGCTGCCTCATCTTGTCTTCGACATCGCTCTCGGAGAAGTGCTCCACGTTGGTGAGCTGGAGGTCCATCTCTGTCAGCCAGACCAGGATCCCCTCACGGGTCCCCTCAAAGTCTTCTCTCTGAGAGGTAAAGTGCTGCAGAAGCACGGAGCAGAGGGCGGACATCTTTATTTAAGAGTTGTTTAGATACCCACAGTGGTCTTAAGTCGGAGTATAACATATACAGATAATATTGGTATTTGTGATCCATTATTTATTCCATCTGTGAACTCTACTGTGTTCATGAAGACGAGATTATCAAAGGAACAAGTCAGGCTGACGTTAAGAGATATTTAAATCCAAAATATAAGATTCCTTTTACAATGGACAGACCTTGTTGGTATCTGCAGATAAATCACTGCCATACGTGCAGTGTTGGGCTCGTCACTCCAACAATGTAATTTATGACTCATTATTCAGTAATTAGTTACACTACTGGTACATTACTTTTCTGCTACTGCTCACAAAATTGGTAAGAGACAGAGAGTAAAACATTTCATCCACCACACTCCATTAGATCCTGCAGCTGCCCACAGTTAAAATCCAGCTTTGTTTGTTAAAATCAAAATAATGAAAATATTTCCAGCTGCTGGAATATAGCGACCACAAGAGCTATGATAGACGTATACTGTATATCCGTAGCCCTATCTTATATCTATCTTATCTCATCTTATTTTATCATAAATGCAAAAACTGTTCTTCTGTCTTAAACCACTGAAAATCAGATAAATAAGAAAGGTGTGTAGATCAAAATAATGTATAAATAGAATGAATTATATCTCCATTAAATATGAGTTTTGAGCCCTTCTCCCCATCATCTCCACTCTGGAATGCCTCTGACTCACTGTTGAAGCTGGTCTGCTGATGTGAACATGGCTTACAGCGGCTGGGGTCAACCAGCACCAATCAGCCGAGTTCTTTGATTACATGAAATCTTTATAAAGCAACATAAACTTCATCCATCTGCTCGGCGCCACATGCCGCGATGAAAACAGCTTCCCGCCAACGTGACGCCCCGTGCGTCGTCACCGTCTGGGAGGTGACCTAAATCCTGACGGCTTATCTGAGAGCGGGTAGATACTACACAGATCAGCTGGGGAGGGTTTGATACACGCTGATGTTTGCTTTCTGATTGTTGTCTTACCCTAATAAACACAGCATTTATTTATCTGCTGTGATGTACGTAGTTTTAATCTCTTGCTGCTATTTGAGGAAGTTTCCTAACACAGCTCTAAATATTCATGAGTTTATTGGCTGGGTGCAATTTAACGTCTTGAATGAGCTCCCCGTCTCACCTTGAGTCTGCGGAGAACCGCAGCCACCCTCCTCTGCAGGCTGTCCCATCTCTGGTTCCCCTCGTGGACCATGACTTTGAGCTTGCTGGCGGCATCAGTCCGGTTCTCCCGAGCCAGGCGACGATACTGTTTGTTGACCAGCTCCAGCTGAGTCAGGCGCTCGTGAACCTGCCGCTGGAACGCCTGGAGAGGAGAACGGAGGGGAAGAAATATGAGCACAAACAAGTGAGGGAAAGGTTTTGAGAGGCCACAAGGCTCATTCCCAGAGGCCCAGAGCATCTGTTTTTGCCGCCCTGGGAATGAGACTCAACTGATTGGTTGTTTTTGTTCGGGGCCGGGTGGATTTTCCAAATAACCTTAGGAGAACTAGAACAAGCCAAAGGAACCTGATTTTTTTGCAGATTATTTGTCTCATGTTCTACCGTCAGAATTTAGTGAAAGTTTCCGCAAATATGACAAAAAGTTATTTTTATAAAAGTTACTGCAGCTTTAAACTGGAATATTGTATTTCGTAAAGAGTCATTTGAAAAGCTTGTTGTAATGTATGTTGCATGTATTTATGGTCACTATCTTTCTCTATAAATGTGTATGTCCATAAAGAGTGAATTAAAAGTGTGCAGACTTGGGAAGTCACCTCATCATGATGAAATCCCACTTCCCAACTTTTGCAGAATCAAGCACACCTCTGTATTTCACTGTATTTACTTACATTCAAATTGTGATTCAAAAAGTTTAAACCTTAAATTTGAGTCCAAAAATGTATCATAGCTTAAATGATGACTCACACCTTTAAAATCACTGCACTGCAGATTATGAACTCAGAAGGCCAAAGGATAACCAAAGGCTATGATGATCAAGGGCCAAGCCTGGATTTTTTGGAAGAGGGGATGGATGAATGGATGGATAAAATCACATGCTCTTTCTCTGTCAAACATTTAAATAAGGTCTATATACAGTGTGACAAGTTGAAACTGCCGCTACCAGCTGCTCAGGAGGATTAACAACCTTTTCCTGTCAGTTTATGGATTTTAACCTTCATCCTCCTGCTGATTCCAACGATTACGCTCCTATAGCGTCCATTACATGTCATTGACAGTCAGTATATAGGTCAGCGGTCCTCCACAGGACGATATACACCATCTACACCGCACTGGATCCCTGTTGCCGTGGAGATGAGGGCTCTTTGGCATAGTCCAGATTACCAGGCGCTAATCTGGGTTTCTAATCCAGACTGACACATCAAGGGTTACCTCTGTGTCTCAGCACAAACAGGACACCTGAACCTGATCCTGCACTCAGACTGGGACTAATAGTGGACGATTTGATTGTTTAAAAACTGTAGAAGGCTTATTGCTGAACCCAGCTTCACCCCCCAAAGCTGCAAGCAACTTTTTCTTTCTTTCAGATGTTGGACCTTTTACCATGTGAAGTTTTTTTTAAGGGAAAATAAAACAAAATGCTGCAGCAGTTCTGGTGTTTAAGATGCTACTGTGCATTGTATTGGCTAAAAAAACGTGTTTTGCGATTATAGAAGTCTGATGCAGTGTCTTAAATTCGGAGAAGCATAGATTCGAGATTGCAGGAAGGAGTGTGTTCAGATAAGACCTGGGGTGTCGGATGATTAACCCTGAAACAGTCTGTCTTGTCCTTTAGTCCTCTGTTTTTGGTACTTGCCAAAGTAGAAGAAGCTTAAAAGAAACAAAAAAGAGAGAAAGATTTGTCAGCTACCTCAAACTTCTTGAGCTCCTCTTTGGCGCTGGTGTAGAGGACGTTGGCGGAGTCCGGGTTTGCTGCAGTGAGCTCAGATGTCTTCAGCCAGTCTTCGAAGCGAGAGTAGTCGTCCAGGAACTTGCACCAGAGACGCCAAGTCTCCTCAATCCTGAAAACAACAACGTGATGAGCAGTCCTGAGCAGTACCAGTACTAAAAAATGGTAAGGTTTTATAGTGAGATTTATTTTAAGCATTAAATACACAGTCTGTGACCTCACCTCATCCTCCTCTCCATTGACATGGCACAGATGTTTCTCCAGCGTCGGTCAAGGCTGCGGGTGGTCTGCTGGATCGAGTCATTCTCGGAGTCACTGCCGCAGGCGTCGGCATCGTGGAGCAGGACGTCGCAAAGCGTCAGCACAGACGCCACACTCTCTGTATGCTGCTCAATATCTCGCTGCAGATCCTGCAGTTCAAACGACAAAGAAACACCTCAGTCACATCTTAAACGAAACAGTCACATGGACTCCCATGCACCTCATTTATACAACAACATGCTTCCTTTTGAGTTGGCCAATTAAACTACTCAAATACTCCGGAGCAAACACTCTAGACTTCAACCGACACTTGATTTGTTCATCAAGACCATCAAGAGTGGAGTAAAATTAGAAAAAAACTGTTCCCCGGTTACCACAGGAGTTCCCAACAAAAACAATCATTTGAGAGAAATAAAAGCGTCGTCAGCAAAGTCATAATTATTATTATATCGGGCTTATCGGTCTGATTCCTTGTCAGTTCCCTTTTCGATTTTTAATCGGTTCTTTGTCTCTACCATCACTCAACTACACAACTGTCAGAAAAACATGTTGGCACTGATAAAAGGAACTGATAATCTCAATGATTCCTATGGATCGGACAATGTCGAACCAGTTCTCAACTGGAACCGCTTCTCGATTCCCATATCCAGAGGTCTGTGGGGTAAGGCGGAGGGCTTTTTGGTGCGCGTGTCAGCGTGAAGCTCCCCCTGAAGCCTGACAGCACTTTTGTCGGCTCTTGTTTGTTCAAAGTTACCACTCTCTGGGTTGCCATGGTGACAGCTGAAAGCTTAAAGAGCCCATTCACACGGGAGTCGTTTCAGCCGTCCCTCATCCACTAATGGTGAGAGCTGCAATTTTTTTTTTGAGGAACCTTCTCTTTCAGTGGCCACGGCTCGCCATTTCTTCCTCACAACTTACTCCTGCTTCTTTTTTCTGCCTGTCTGTCATCTGTCTCCTCCTCACTTCCATGAACCACTTCTGTCTTCAGACAGGTTCCTGTCCAAACTCAGACAGGCTGCTCAAGTCCAATTCGTTTAACAGATTTTTAAAGGACTTTTTCCTTTCTTTTTTTTTTCACTTCTGTCATTCCCCTCATTTAAATTCATATTTTTTAGCCCCAAACCATAACAGAAATTATCTCTGGGCACTTTTTATATAGAGCAGGGCTAGCCTGTAAGAGATTATCAGCGTCTCAACAAATGAGCAAAGTAAAAAACGAAGTTCAGCCGTCAGTCAATAGCTACTTAAAGCTCTCTGCATGTTTTGGCAGTGCAGAATACTTTCAAACTTTAGAAAATGTTGAGCGTCTCAGAAAAGCAGTGACTCTGGGCAACCAGTTGGTGGTGATGCAGAGATGCAGTGTTTGAGATAGAAGTATTCTTATATAATGCAGTGTCTGTACCACAAAGCTGTTTAGACCAAGTGTGAACGCATTGGTTTATGGGGTAGCGTTTACAGGAATTATTGCCGACGTCATCTTGTTTCGTTTTTTTGTCAGAAGTGGCAGTTCCACAGCTACTGCTCGGGATAAATCAGGATAAATAATCAAAATATTGTGGCCTTTAGGGTTGTTTCACATAGAACGGCATTTCGGCAAAGAAACTTTCATCTGAGCTTGAGAGATGCTCTTGTTGATATGTCACTGTTGACTTTTGCAAATTCACCCATTTCACTTCCATCCTGTGTACACATTTTGCTTTCAGAAGGTAGTTATAAAAGATCTAATTCATCTTTATTCATCGTCTGTCGGAAAATGTCTCTGTCTGACCCTTTCCATCCATCCACTTCCTCTCACACTGGCAACCCTTTCTCCTTTTAGGAAAGTAGCAGTACTGCAGACTACAAATGGACTAACAGAATAAAATCCATTTCCTTTCTTCGGACCGCCGGCTGAGGTGCGGCTCTCGGTGCATTTACCCTCTCTCAGAACAGAGTGGCAGCTTCCTCCTTCACAAACATCCCCTTTCCCGCAGCTTGCTGAGATTTTACTTTGCAGCACACATTACTCTACTCTTGTGTTATTATGCTGTGGACCACTACAGGGTGGCTGTAACATAAAGGGTTTAAAAGCAGGCGTGCGTCACCAGTGTATGAGTAAGGTACTACCTGCCCTAAAATTCCCTCAAAGTGCCCTGCAGGGTCTGTCCTCGGAGTGGGGTCTCCATTCTGCTCTGTGCCAACACAGAACAGCTTTTACCTGGAAGGTGTCCAAGTTCAGTGGTTATATGGAGGTGTGAGGTGGGCGTAGCCACTGGTTCCATTTTCACCACTGTAAATTACACCTGAAAGTTTTCTTTTACCCTTGTAGTTCCTCCACATACAAACATGGGAGTCTCCTGTTATGTATGTAATTATGTCACCTATGTTCTCAACCTCTGCTGTCAGTTTGGTTTGAAGGAAAGCTCTGAATAGCTGTTAAAACTAACAATCATTAGGATGCTTGATGTCAATAAGACTTTTAATCTTTAATCTTTTAAAGCTAGCATGTTTTGACTCGTGATGACGCCTGATATTAGCAACATGGCACACAGCAATTGTACTTTGACAAATTAAAGTGGTTCAGAATTTGTATGAGGTGGCAATAAAAGCCAATTCATTTTACATTTTTCATCTTTGGTAAGGGGCAGCCCCGCACGGGACAGGTGTACGTTAGTAGGTTAACTGAAATTCACCTTGCTGTGAACACAGGCTTGAACCTTTGACTTTTGTTCAAAGAATCTGAATTTTCTAACACAGTTGTTCAGCTTATGTACCAATGATTCAATCAGTAGACTCTCATGTCCATCTAAACCTCTGTCCTCCAACTGTCTCCTGTCATTGTCTATGCATGAACTGAGGAGGAGTTTCACATCCTGAAAAAACTCTATTGAAACGCAGAAAGCTGCGCTTCTTGTTTATTAGACTGGTTTAAAACTTCATACACACTTTCATGGGTGACTAATATGCTGCTCGAACATCTCATTGAAAGCATCCCGTCTTCACCCACCTGCTGCTCAGCCAGTTTCCTCTGGATCTCGTCGCTGTGGCAGACGCTGTAGACCACCGGCTTGGCCAGCTCCGCCTCGATACGAGACAACCATGTCCGCAGGTTGCTCATGTTCTTATCCAGCTGCTGCACCGTCACCAGGGTCTCCTTCAGCTTCCTCACCCTGAGAGGAGAAAAAGGTCACGTTAACGAAGGTGTCGCTGGAGTTTCGCCTGATATGTCTTCTTCCTCTGAGTCCTAGAGCTCCACTGTTGTCAAAAACTATTAAAACACATCAGTGAGCCTCACTGTTGCACTGGGTGACATCTTCCTTCATTACTATGAACACACACTTTAGTATTTTGACTCAATCTCACATACACCGTCCTGCCACCCCCTGCCAGTGGTGGATTAATACAGTTTAGTTAAGGTTCAATATGTAAAGCCAAGAACTTGTTTATCTTTACAATGCTGTCTCATTTTTCTCCAAACTAACACTGTTTAGCAAGATTGCATCTTCTCCAAAATGATATCAAAGGTCTCTTAATGATCCAAGATTTAGTTTTTGTCATGGCAACGCTTACGAAATCTGATTTCAGTATCTAAATAAACAATTTCTAAAGAGGTCACTGCTCTGGAATCCAAATTTGTGCAGACTGAAATTGAAGCTTTACCCTCATCCAACACATCAGATCTGTGTGTGTCTCACATGAGAGGAAGATAATAAGAATCGGGACACCTTAAGATGCAGCGTGAACACAACGTTACTCCACAACGGAGACATGTTGAGCATGGCCGTCCACAGCGAGAATCACACCCATCACCCCGCCATTGTTAGCACTACGCTCTGATCCGTCGCTGTGTCTGCGAAGTGCTGCTATCGTTCTCACGTATGACACAACAGGAGCCATTATAGAGGAGCTGCAGGCTGACCTACATCTGACTGAGAGCTGGGTGTTGTCTGGGAGAGAGACTGCATTCCAGTTCAGCTCGCAGGTCAGCGACCTACATCAGTTCATTCTTCACAAACCAACACAATGCAGAGAGGGTGACACAGCACGGGCATGTGACCCCGCCAAAATCCACCTCTGAGTGCCAGCGTGTGTGCAAAGATGTTTGTGTGTGCAGTTGAATGGGTGGTTCACACTGCACTGTACACACATCCAGAGTTCACTGTCTGTCTGTCTGTCAGTACCCTTAAATATGTTGTGTGTTATGTCACTGATTGTGACACCAGTCGGTGCAGTTCTGGGTTTCATAAATACAAATTATTATAGCCCAATAGTGGGGTCTGGACAATAATAGTTAGTTGCTCTACTTATTGGCAGACAACTACACAATAGCGATATATGTGAAGCTAATGTTGCACATTTTGTTGGTATATCTCCACTCTAAGCGCCACAAGTTAAAAAAACGCTCAACTTTTTAGCATGTAGCATTAAATCATTATGTGGACTGACTTTCATTCAGCACCCCAAACTCTGACTGACTGTTTCTGGGATGCATTTAAGACATAATGCATAGTGTAGTAGCATCTTAACATGTTTTCAGGTGGCATTTGAATAAAATAAAACATTGCACAAGAGACTAAATCTTCCAAAAACTATGACAACAAACCAGCAAACCAAGAAAAACTCTTTTATAATGGTAAAAATGCTTTTTTTGGAGATAAAGTAGCAAGTCTTCCTATATTTTAGCTGAACATGGGGATGCACCGATACAACAATTGTAATCATGAAACCACCAAGAGACCACTTTACGGTAACGTATTGTTAACCTCTCATTAGCTGAGCAGGTAGGTGGATGATGTTGACAGTTTGGAGATATTCTAAGAGAATCGATGATGACAAAAGTAGAGCAGACTGCAATTATTCTCTGCTAAACTGTCAAGAGAAATGCAGCTCCTTTAATACAAATGAGGAACATCTGATGAAAATAAAACATGGTTTCAAAGTCATTATTAGAACTGTAATGGTGTTATTCAGTACTTATATCTGTACTTGGTATTGCAAGTACCCAATTAGAAGTACTTCTACTTGGTCTAAATAAAAATTGGTGTCCGTGCATCCCCATCTAAAAATCACCAAACATGAGTCTCACAGGACAGAAATATTATGTTCTGTGCAGCTTGAGGTACAGAAGGCAGCAGGTTGTGCAGAACAACTGCGCCTCAAACAAACACGTCACAATATCTTCATGGTTTAATGCCATGTGTGCACGTTTGATGCTACTTTAGACACTATTCAAGGTGTCCATGCACACCGGCTCGGCTGAATGATGCAACACAGACACCAAAGCAGCAACAAGCAGCTGTCATCCAACAACCTTTAAGCTGCGTTCTGGTTTTACACGTCACACACTGAAAACGGCTCCGTGATTTCCATACTGACACACAATTAACAATCTAAGATGCTGACGCAGCACTAACAGAGGCTGGGCGGGGGGGGAGTTCCTGTCCTATTTTGGCTCCTGATGCATCTGCATGTGTGTGTGTTTGTGTGTGTGTGCATGCATGTGTGGGCTCAAGGTTGCATATCTTTACAGTATGTGAGGATGTGGCAGTAGATGGAGGGGCGGAGAAAAACATCTGTAACATAAAAACATGCTGCTGCAATCATAGACGGAAATATATAGGCTCATCCACACACACACACACACACACACACACACACACACACACACACACACACACACACACACACACACACACACACACACACACACACACACACACACACACACACACACACACACACACACACACACACACACACACACACACACACCTGCTGTCCAGGCTTCCACCTCGTTTAAATACCATCACACACACGCCGACTCGAGCCGGTGGTCTGAATTGAATTTGCTCTGAATGACTCGACATGCATCTGCCTGCACCGACAAAGCACCGGCCCATCCCCCCCTTCGCTCCTGCTCTCCTCCACCTCCTCCTCCTCCTCTTTATCACAACAAAACACCCGATCTGCTCTTCTTTCATCCGTCTGCCTCCTCAGCCTCACGATGGTTGGGTGTGCCGGTGGCTCGGGATCAGGGCGAGAGGTACTTACGTGATGGTGAGGAGGCTACTCCATGGCGATGGCTCATCCGCTAGCAAGTACTGCCCCCCCCATCCTCAATCCCTCTCCTCCCTCCCTCCTCTGCAGTCTGCCTGTCCCCTCCTCTTCCCATCTCTCCAAACATCTGGATGAAGGTTCCCTCCAGGATACACAGCACCTGGAGCACCTTTGTGAAATTTGTAATTACTTTTAATGATCAATTCATGTCAGATCATTTTTACATATTCATACATCATATTTTAATTTAGTCTAAGATGTCATAAGAGTGTGAAAAATTCTGATCCCAGGTACCCAGAGCCCAAGGAGATTTTTGTCCGACAAACATTCCAAAACCCCCAAATGTGAAATTTACAATGAAATGAATCTCAAATTAAAGAAACCTGAAACAGCAAATACTTAATTGTCAATTATCAATAATGCTGATGATTCTCTTTAAAAAAAATAATTAATTAATTGATTATCAGGGCAAAAGTTAATATTCCTTCTGGAAACAATCCAAAGCATCAATAAAACTCTAATATCACTTTACGACCGGCACTATCCTGCAACCGAGCCAACCAACAGGAACAAAGAAACAGAAGCCCATTGAAGTTAGTCCAGGTTGTGAGCAGATTACAGGTGCAGCTGTCGACTGCTGTTACTGTTACTGGATACGACCGCGGACATTACCGCAGACACAGGCAGACACAGACAGAACCAGCGGGGAACCTCAGGCTGGAAAACCTCCATCTGCCACCTTCTCCCATTTCAAATAAACCAGCCTGGGGTTCGGCACTAAGAGCTGGTAATACATTACAGAAAGAATGACGGACACTGGGTGGAGGAGGAGAGGGAAGAAAGACACAGAAACAGACAAAACGGTTCAAAGAAAGAAAACAGCCCTTTTCGGGAATATATTACACTGCCAGCTTCATCTATCTATTACAGTAACGGCTGTTTGTCACTCAGATATAATGTGAGTGTTCTGTAATGGCTTTATTCAGACACAATGATCACGTGATATTCGGCACCTGGTCAGAATATATATTAAACAGAGCAGTGGTTCCCAAGCTGACTCCTTAAGGAACCCTTTTCTATCAATTAGTAAACTAATGATTTCATATTATATTTAAAAACCGAAATAATACCAAATAGTGAACTGCAAGAAGTTTGTGTAAAACGAGAGATTTGGATGAATTTTGAGCAGGTTATTTCCTGTTTTGGTTTTGGTTGCTTGTCCCTGGTGTTTGGCCCTTGTTCTATTAGACAATCAACTTTACTACTTTTCACAGAAATGAACCAAATGGAAACCACTGAAATAGAGAGTGATAAACGTGTGATGATGTTTTTTGTTTCACTAAGTAGGATTTGGGCTTTTTAAAAAAAAACACTTTTAACTTATCTTAGGGATCTTAGGGATGCTGCAACCATTACAGTTTTTAAATCAGGATATAAAACTCTTCTAGGTCTTACTACGCTTACGCTATTTTCATTTATTTATTTTTATGGTTTTATCTTAATTTTGATGTTACTTTTATATAAATCTTTTTATTATGCTTTTTATAATTCAGTTTTTATATTATAAGTCTGTTGTTTTAACTTTTAACCGTCTTGCTTTTAACCACACTGCACAGCACCTTGAATGTACTGCCTCGCCTAATAGCGTGCACACACACACACACACACACACACACACACACACACTTATAATTTAATTCCACTGCCACACAAACAGAAACATTAACTCCATCGTCCGTCTCTTAATCCCTTATTCAAACTTAACAGATCACCGTAGTAACCGAGCCGAGAAAACAACACGAGAAGTGCGCCATCATCGTCATGACGACCAGATCAACAACAGCTTGAAAAGAGAGCCGAGTAGCTTTAAGTGAGAGTTGTTTTTATGTCAGCATTAAACAGCATGAACAATATGTAAAAGCTCCACTCGACATTAACGACTCTTCAAACCGCAGAAACACGCTGTTTGACGATAAAAGGAGCAACTCTGCCGCACCAGGTGTGAGGAGGCAGGTGGAGCTTTTTAAAGACAGAACATCTGCCTCATGTGCATCTTATTCAGACAATGAGGAGAGAGGATGGTGCAGTGGCCCCCGGTGGCCCCCGAGGCTGA